TAATAAAAGAGAAAACCGACTGCCCCTCCAGGACCTTGCAGTCTTGAGTGAACTAAAGTTTGAGAAAGCTCAGTATCAGTCTCATCTGAGCAATCCTCACCTTATCAATGAGACTCCAGTATCGCAAACGGCATCATTAAACAGTCAAAGCGCCAATGCCCTGCCTGCATGCTTAATGTGAACCAAATCTGCTACTGAGCGCAGAGGTGAATTAAAGCGCACAGATTCCAGATAGCGGCGAGAGACGCTGAGAGCATCAGAGCGGTGACGGTTCTCCGGATCTGAGGAGCACAGACTGACAGCTCGCCTTTAATCCCTGCCTTCAGAGAGGAACGCCAGGAAAATTGGATTCATGTTGGGGAACATTTTAGCTTTAGAATGGATGAAATCAGCATCTCGCGCTGGAAGGTGAGCTATCTATCGTTTGAACAATGCTCTCAAAGACCTGAGCGAAACAATAGCTCTGTGCTATCACCTGATCTGTGAGCGTGTGAGCCAGAGCTTTGGAAAGAGAGCGTGTGCACGAACACACACGAGATGCTGAGATTAAGAGAGATCGGAAAATTTGTTCGAGCTCTTATCTGAAATTCAACAGCTGTGTGAGGAATAATAGCCGTACCACGAATACAATTCAGCAGGCACATCGGAGATTTAATCTTTTTATGCAATAAAGGGAATGAAGCTGCAATTATAACCTCAACTGATGTTTATCACCGCCTGTTAACACTGACAGTCTTATAACCTGAATATAGAAAACATAAAAGCAGTAATAAATCATTAAGCACATTAAACCGAATATAACACTTCTGCTCAATGCATGACTGACTTATGATGTTTACGAAGAGTATAAAGCTATTCATAATGACACTTATGAACGTTTATAAAGAGACACTGAGTGAGATCCTGTGGAGATATGTGGATCTGGATCAGCTCATAATGAAACACAGACTCGTTTTGTCGTGTGATTGATCGCTTATGAATCAAGCTGGGAATGTGTCACTTTACTGTTACTCTTAAATGCACCAATCTCAAAATCGTATTGCTTTTTGTCCCATAAACACCAACAGCAAATTATGATTATAGTGCAACAGGACTAAAGCCAATTCAAGGCTTTGTTTCTGTAACATTTACAACATACATTCAATCACATAGTTTAAATCCTGTATGACTTATCGTCTTCTGTGAAATATAAAGTATGTTTTCAAGAATGTCAGTAGCTAACTCACTTTGGTGACCATTGACCTCCATTGTATAGAGAAAAAAAATACACCAATGCACCATATTTCTCAAAATATCAACTTGGTGTGTTCTACAGAAGAAAGAAAGTCATATAGGTTTGTAGGAAAATTAGGATAAATGATGACGGAATTTTCATTTTTGAGTTAACTATCCCTTTAAAGGAAAATGTGTTCATCCTCATACAAACCTGATGAAGAAACAAACTCATCCTGATCTCGGATGACCTTTTTTGGTGTGATTCCTGTATAAGTACTATATAAGATCTCAACACCCAGTTTTTAGAAATACCGCTTCCATCCAGCGCCCCCTGATATTCTCTGAATGCCCCGTTAAGAAATGCTGCACTAGCAGATTATAACAAGATTTGCACAAAAATGCTAAACCACATGTTGAGGAAAGGGCTGTGTGCATTTAAATAATAAGAATATAATGCCAACAATTTGAGTGGAAAAGTTCATGCCGAAAGAGCCCGTATAATTGCAGAAAATAAATTTATAAACCAGGCATTAAAAAAGGAAAGCAGCAACACCGTAAACAGGCCTTTCAACTTCACACAAGCCAATTTCTACAGGAACTGTCATCCAATTAACTGCTGGAAACAACACCGCGTCTGGCCATCCTCACCCACACAAATCAACCAATTAACTAATTACATGAATATCTGACGCTGCTGTATTTACCAGCCAATTATTTCCGCTCGGCTGCACAGAGGTGGTGAGCGATCGCTGAGAAGTTCTGCTCTGGTTTCTGACATGACTACAGAGAGAAACTTGTTGGCACAAACGTCGAGGAGAGATTTTCTTCGACTTCAACTTTGCGTGTTGTGTGGGCAGCTGTCTCGTAACAACAGATCCCCTCCTTTAAACTGGTTCGAATGTCTTCTGTCAACCTTGCGATTACCCACAATCCTCCTTCAAGTGTTATTACCGGATTATAATTTATATCGCCGCTCATCGCCGGTGACGAGTGAGCAGATGCCAAATGCGTGGGCACCATGATAAATTCACAATGGGAACCCATTTACAGTGAGTTTAAATTAAAGACAATTTGTTCACGCCGTTTGCAGCAGTGTTCATTTCTACATTTTTAACATTGTATTGTACTGTGAACAAGCATGAGATAATGTGTGTCCCTGGAGCACAAAAGCAGTGTTAAGTCGCTGAGGTATATTTGTAGCAATAGCCAACAATACATTGTATGGGTCACAATTATAGATTTTTCTTTTATCCCAAAAATCATTTGGATATTAAGTAAAAATCATGTTCCATGAAGATATTTAGTAAATTTCCTACCGTAAATATATCAAAACTTAATTTTTGATTAGTAATATGTATTGCTAAGAACTTCATTTGAACAACTTTAAAGATGATTTTCTCAATATTTTGATTTTTTTGCACCCTCAGATTCCAGATTTTCAAATAGTTGTATCTCAGCCAAATATTGTCCTATCCTAACAAACCATACATCAATGGAAAGATTATTATTCAGCTTTCATATGATGCATAAATCTCAATTTTGAAAATTTGACACTTATGACTGGGTTTTGTGGTCCAGGGTCACATATGAATTATAGAATATTCCTAAATTGCTGCAAAACAAATCTTCATTGTTATTTTAGGACACAGAGCATTAACTACTGGTAATGAACTGAACCTTATTGTTACCTCACAATGATTTTTATTCATTTCTGTGAAATAGTTCAAATTGTTTGCATGATTGATTCAAAAGTCTGATTTAAAACTAGTTGGTGTCGTTCAAAAATGTTCTACAAAATTTCTGTATTTTAACGTTTCAGTATGAATGTAATGTAGGTAAATATTGTATTGTTTAGTGCATAGAAAATAATTAAATATTTTTTGCATTAAATATTCTAAATCTATACATGTACAGTGGCTGTTCGGCAGAAATACAAAGGTAACTGTAACTGTTATTTTATCACACAGTCGAGTTTCTCGCGTCATGCCCTCTAAGGCGTGTGTATTTCCACCTGTGGTGTATGTGAATGTATAACACACCTCTGTCACCCAACACACACATGCAGCTCAGCCCGCGGCCCTGACCCGTGAAACCCATGAAAGCCACAATTACTGCAGCGCTCCCCGACGGCCCGAAGCAGTGTAAGTCCATCCCAACCCTCTCATTTCTAATTACCGCCGCCTGAGGCCAGGTGAAAAGCCAGTGGTGATAACATCTTCTCTTCTACCTGTAGCCAAGCAGAAAACACACAGCTCAGTGTGTGCACATAATTACACTCTTCCAGACATGTGGGGAATTTGCTTTTAGAGGAAGATTTGTCAAGAGCCCGCGCTGCTGTCGGGGTTTGGAGGTAAGCCGTGCCGGCGGATCGCTCAGGGCTCATTTGGACAAGCATTTCCGCGTCGGGTGAAATTTAAAGGGGTCATATGATGCGATTTCATTTTTTCCTAAACCCTTCAAATAATAGAAAGGGACAGAAGATTTACAACTCCACATTTACATTCTAATCATTCAAGCTTTAAAACTGAATATAAACATTACATGTAGCACAGCTACTGGGTTATAACACTCTACAGTCCATTAGTGTAAACCACAAACAAATTCATCATTTCAAAATAAACACATACTTTCAGGAAAATAAAAAAAAACATTTTGGGGTCTTTGCACATTATTTACTTCATAGTAGTACCTTAAGGGCACATATTACTACTTCATGGTACTAATAAGCACCTTTTAGGGGTAGATAAGGTACAAAGGTGTCATCTTAAGGGTGTTGCCCCAGTGACAAGCTGCAATTTTAGCAGATTTTTATTTTAATTTTTTTAGCAGCATGTACCTTGACATTCATGTGCAGTTTTAAAAATGACACCGGTAGACAGCACTCAGATGTTAATTTAAAAAGAGGAAATCATAAATGTGTGTTAAGACAGGGTCATATTTACCATTGCTCAGTGCAATTTTGCAGCTGAAATAATGTAGGACCGGACATGGCAAAATACCATGAGTGAAATACAGGAATAATGATGATAAAAGAAACATTGCTTTTTATGAATCATTTTATGATTATGAGTAGACACCGCCAGAATGGCAGTTTTTTTGGTAACTTTCTTCACCAACACAGAGGTCATAAGAGTTTTATGTTTTATCAGATCATAATTAAAAAACTAATACTTCCCAACTGTAAATCCTAACTGGATGAGCCACGTTTGAATACACAGTCTGTGACACACATTCTATAATGGGGCATGTGATGACCGTGCTTGACACTCGTAAATGATCCACTCTGTCATACTGTTATATTGATTATGCTGATGCGTTCTGGTCTGTTATTAATACATTAAGCTACTTATTGCATATAGGTGTCTTTTATTATGTTGCTGCTTGCCAATGTGTGTTACAGTAATGTTACACTGATGATCCAGAGATTTTCCAAAGATGTTACAGTGATTTTACAATTATGTTACGGAGATGTTACAATGGCGTTGCAGAGATGTTATAGTGATCCTACAGAGATATTACGGTGCTACAGAGATGTTACGGTAATGTTGCAGAGATGTTACAGAAATGTTGCAATCAAGTTAGGTTGTGAGATTTTATGGTGCTGTTTCAAACGTATGTGGTCGTGGTCAAATCACTTAACCTACTTAACGTCACTTATGATTACATTTGTTCTGTGTTTTACACTAGTTTCAGCCCTGCGTCACCTGAAGGTCAGAAGTCTAAGAATAGGATCGTTGTAAAACCTCAATGGTAGCTGGACTGCTTAAGTCCTGCCTGTCACCCACCGTACGCTGCCACTTTGATGAGGAGGGCTTGGAGGCCACTTGATATGATCTCTCTGAGCAGCTCGGCCTGGTCTCGACGCCACAGGTACGCCAGTGGCTGGAGCTGCAGTCTTGCACACCTGCAGAAAGAACCACAGCGTCAAGCCGAAATAAGAGAAACCAGGGTCGTAGAATAAGACGTGGGGAGACGTTATGGACATGTCCCTACCAATATCCAGCGACTACCAACTTGTCCCTAGCAATAATTTTGATCAAACAATTAAATATATGTATATGTTTTTGTAATTTCGGATGCATCTAAATATGTCATACCATTGATATTACCTAAGAAGTTAAAGCAAACACGTTAGAAAACTGTGTGCTTTCAAGGACGCACATTTAATACATGGGCGGAGTAAGAACGCATGGTAGTTGCACGCTGGACGAGAAGCGCAGCCGCGTTTAGAAGACAGCAGTCCAAAACAGTTCAAATAAAAGTTAACTTCAGGAAGTTGTGTCGATAAATTTGATATACGGTGTTTGACAAAACAGAGCAAACGGAAAAAGAAAGCGCGATCTATGGCTATTATTAGCTCTCTATATAAAGCATACTGACAGAAAGACAAATGTTGTGCTGAAAGATGCACAATAAACAATCTTCCAGCCTAGGATGAAGTCATTATGTACACTAACAATAAGCTCAATGCCAGCGTCACAGGTCAAACTGAGTGCTCGGGTGATTAGGGCGATTAGCACGAAACGGTCGTGCCCCGAGCCATTACAGGCTGTCAGGTATACAGAGGGGGTTACACCATTTACCCCGCGGTATCAGCGGAGGAACAATAGCTGACTGATAGCTCAAGTGAAGGAAAAACGGCTGCAGAGACCAAGACTGAGCTGCGTCGAAGTGAAAAACACATTCACAGCATGTTTAATGAGTTTGCGGTGTCCGTTTAATGTTCAGAGTCACTGGTAGTTTGGCATCCTAAAGAGTGAAACTCTGTGACACTTTCACAACATTGATTTGTTTGAGCAAATGTCTGAAAGAACCTATAGAAGAAGTTTGGGGCGGCACTTTCTGTTTGACTGACCAATGAAAGACAAGAGCAGTGTTCAAGAAACTGCCGATTGCAATTTCATTCAATGACACTTCTACAAATATTATATAGTTATGCATTCAGATTTTTCATAAAACAAGATTCTTTGAGCATGAAAGCGTGACATATCTCATTATTAATTACACTGTACAATTGTTTAAAAGTTTGAGCTTTTTTTTTTATTCATACTTTTATTCATCAAGGATGCATTAAATTGATCAAAAGTGACAGTAAAGACATTTATAATGTTACAAAAGACTTTCTATTCATCTGTGAATCCTGAAAAATAAAATGTATCCCGGTTTCCACAAAAATATTCAGCAGCACAACTGTTTTCAACATTGATAATAATCAGAAATGTTTCTTGAGCAGCAAATCAGCATATTAGAATGATTTCTGAAGATCATGTGACACTGAAGACTGGAGTAATGATGCTGAAAATACAGCTGCGCATCACAGAAATACATTACAGTTTAACAGATATTCACATAGAAAACAGCTGTTTTAAACTGTAGTAATATTTTACAATTACTGTTTTTACTGCATTTATGATCAAATAAATGCAGCTTAGAGCAGAAGAGATTTCTATTAAAAAACTTTCTGACCCTAAATTTTGGTTTTGAATAAACATAGATTTAAAACACACATGGGTTTAGCTTGATAATGTTCAATAAATGTGTTTATTTTATAGGTACACTTCAAACACTTTGGGTTTAGTCAGTGAGCTGAGTTTGAAGAACAGAGAGACAAATAAACTTGATCATTAGTAGTAATGTAGTAATACAGCTTTTAATGCCACATCAGCATCTGATGATAGCTTCATGGCAAAAACAGAGTTACAAAATATAAGACTTCCTGATCATATTAGCATTTATGAATTTGATTAATTAATTTATTCATCCAAAATGATGCACGGTTCAACATGCTAGACACAAGGCATTGGTATATTGGCTAATTGTTGTGCCAATGACATACTGGAGTCTATTAAGTGTCCTTCATGTGTGAGAAAGGGAAAGGAGAAACAAGAGAGAAAGAGGGTCCACTTACACATTTTCCACACGTACTCTCTGGTAGTCGGACAGAATGGCCCCGACAGATACTGCCTCAACATGCTCCTTCTCCTGAAGAACGAGAGGAAAGCAAGTCAAAGATCTGAGACGATAGATGAGAAGCTGCAGGTTCAAACTGCAGACAGTGATCCAGTGACGCTGTGATATCATGTCAATGTCACACAAATATCACCGGCCTCAGGCAACATGATGATAAATAAACACTAACACACACTGACACCATGACCAAATCAGACGCAACTCTACATTCTCATGTAATTAGTTACATTACTTTAATAAACTAATTGAACTAGTTACACTACTTATTACATTTTAAATAGGGTGATTTCATTAGACATGATACATTTCAGTAATATGTTGTTATTAACTCATGTTCATTTTGTGCTATAACTAATATCACAAAATTCAGACAATTAATGCTGTTTTGATACTCTTGAATGTGGCGTGACAGCACGAGTCTCTTCCACTTTAGTGAAAGTGAAAGTTTCACTTTACTATTACAGCTCTTAGTGATTATTGAATGAGAGGTGCTTTAAATAATGTTTGGTGAAGGGAAACCGCAGATCTGGCAACCCTGGCTTGAACTATAGGTTATTCACTGGGTCAAACGGAACCTGAGTTAATGGCGCTGTTTGTTTAAGCAAACTTATGTTAATGCGTACTGTGTTGACTGCCCTAAATTCTACACAAGAGACATTTTCTTTACACAGTATGAGCTGCAGTATTTTCTGCCCACTTTTGATTGACAGGATATAATCGTCCCTGATCATCGGCTGTTCATGAAAGCCACCGGCTGATGTCAGACAGTGCTTTTATCAGCCAATACCGATTATAGGCTGCAATATCGGTGCATTCCCAATATATATCTCTCCTGTACGTCCACGATATCCTCACAAACAGTGAATCTGGAGGACCTCCGAGCCGTGTGTGCAGCTCATCCCGGTGGTCAAACTTCAGACATGAACACGGCATCAGTGCTGGAACGCCGCTCAAGCGCTGTCAGACGCTCATGCCTTTGGCAAACCCAGATAAGGCCTATCGCTTTCCATCAGCACTAAACAAGATTGAGCAAACTACATTAGGCAGAAAATACAAACAAATTACAAGAGCTTTAGGCTACGCTCTTTATCTGGCACTGGGACTGTGTGTGTGTGTGTGTGCCTTTACACACACACATCTGACATGATCAGAGTCTCGTTCAGCTGTTCCCATGAGGCAAACAAACAGCAACCACACACTGTGTAAATATGAAATCAAACCCTGCGTGCCATTATTTTGTTCCACAAACACAGAAGAACTTCTGATGAATCTTCACGCTGCACACAAGCCTCTTCTGAAATCACAAGAAGTTTTGGAATGGAGGAGAGAATGACATTAAGTCATTATTCACTAACAATTAGGCCTCTGCATCATGGACGAATCAATTCAATGCACAATTCACTGGGCTTTGATTCAATTTTAAAAAAGAGCCAATTCAGAACAATTCAATTTGATTCAACAATTTGATCTTATTAACAATTCAGTTAATATTTAATTGAAATGCATTTACTGTAGGATTCTGTAAATGCTTCTCCCAATGCATCTTAGACAAGACAAAGAAAACAAACTACACCAGACTGTTTATTGAACTCAAAGTTACTTAAGTCAAGACACTTCCGGCAAAACCACTGTTTTCTAATTTTGAGCTTTTGGTCTGTTTTGCTTCCATAACATGTCTCTTCTTTCAGACTAGTGAAAAGAAAACATTCACAGTACACATGTAAGTGCATATTTTATTGCAGTTTATCTATTTGTGTCTGTAGATTTCAATTAAAATCATAATTAAACACCTTATTTATACATTTTACTCTTAAAAACAAGGTGAAAGTGTGTTTGTTTTCTGTCTGTTGACAGTATTTTTTGATTGAAGGGGTGATAATTTGACGACTTTGCCACATTCTTCATTAATAAAATTACAGGGCATTTTAACGAGTACGAGTACGAGTACAGGAGGCCAGTATCGGTATCGGTGCATCCCTACTAATTACTATAACTTTAATATTACAATGAGAATGAAAAATATAAAACTAAAAACTAATTTAAAATATTAATGACACTTCAATGGTATCTTTTTGGAACGACATCAGGCTGAGTAAATGATGACAGATTTTTATTTTTTTTATTTTGCTTTAAACCCTAGTAAAAATGTAATATATTTAAAATATATTTATTTCATACTAAGTATAGTTCAAATCTATTAACATATTTACTGACATATCGCTCGAGACTTACTGATATAAAATTATAATTAAACTTTATTTGGAGTACTACTTCTGCACAATGCACATTTCTTAATATTAAGCCTAAAATGCATTTTAATGTCAATATTGATGACTGTATGATCTTTGAATAATATCGGTCTTTAAATGCAAGATATTTAAAGTGTACCTTGCAATAGTTCCACTTTAGCACAATCTAATATACTTCAGTATATCTTTAGTTGGACTTCAGCACTACTTCTGCACAATTAAAGTGCATTAAGCACTAAATTAGTTGTTCCACTTTAGCAGACTTAGTTTAGTACACCAAAAGTACATGTTTTTATTAAGTGCATAAATATGCACATGTATTTGTAGCATACTTAGCATGAAATAAATGTCTTTCGAATACTTATTTTTCACTAGGGAAATAATAAAAGCAGAACAAATGTTTGATTCAGAACGGATCGAGGCTGACGCAGTGATGTAAATGTCATGTCGACAGTAATCAAATAAATGTGGCGGCAGTGGCTTCAGCTGGAGTTATTTAATGAGACGTTCCTCCGGCGGCAAACCCGCACAGGTAAAGCGCTCTTCTATTAGCTGCGCTATCGATCGCCGCCGTCCTGGGAGTGACCCGAGAGCTCATCATTTATGTATTAAGCAGGTTTAAAGGTATCCATTTCTTTTTATGTTTTTTTTCAGCAGTAATGTGGAAGTAATCAGAGACGGTTTGATTTTTGAGAAATCCACCTGGACGCCCGCAGCTCGCCGGACACGGCCTTCTGAAGCCGCTGGATGAAAGTTGGAGCGGAGGAGAGAAAACAAAGGTGTGTTTGGACTGGAGGGCCTGTCGGACCCCGCTCTCGAGGGACGCTCGTCTGTCGATACCGGAGCGGGGCCCGCGGGGCTCCTTAAAGAGCAGCTTAGCTCCGCCTCTGATTGGTGTGTGTTTCTTACACGCGCCGGCGGAAGCAAGCGTTTGAAGGTGATCGAGCGCTCGGTGCATCTCAGGACATGAGAAAATAACCATCCTGCACAAACACAATGACTATTCATGCACACTTCCAAACTCTCAAACTCCAGAGTCAAAGGCTGCACAGAAACGGAGTAATTCTTCACAGCAGTTGTACAGTTTTTAATGCCATGTCAGCAACTAAGACTATTTTTATAACAAGAACTGAGTTACCATAGTTACAGGAAAATACAGCCAAGCAAAAAGAAAAACACAGCCGTTAAGATTAAGATATTTTACATGTGATTTTACATGAGCACAAAAGCAGTCATAAGTCGCTGAGGTATATTTGTAGCAATAGCCAACAATACATTGTATGGGTCAAAATTATACATTTTTCTTTTATGCCAAAAATCATTAGGATATTAAGTAAAGATCATGTTCCATGAAGATATTTTATAAATTTCCTACCGTAAATATATCAAAACTTAATTTTTGATTAGTAATATGCATTGCTAAGAACTTCATTTGGACAACTTTAAAGATGATTTTCTCAATATTTTGATTTTTTTGCACCCTCAGATTCCAGATTTTCAAATAGTTGTATCTCAGCCAAATATTGTCCTATCCTAACAAACCATACATCAATGGAAAGCTAGTACTTATCTCTTAGTCTTATACTTAGTCTCTTAGTACAAATCTTATGATTTCATTATAGTTGCGCATATTTTCATTCCACATAATCATTGTTTCAGAACACAAGATCATTGTGATATGTATTGAGAACATTTGAATTAATCACCAAAACACAACAGCAGGGGTTAAAGCAAAAAAAAAATCCAGAGCCTGAACTTTTTTCTGGGGGCGGGGCAGCACATGCAAAGCATGCAATAACTGGCAACTTTAACATTTGAAAGGATACTATGGCAAAGTTATCGCTTTCCTTATTCAAACTGATTTTTTTTTTCAGTTCGCGGGACAGCACTGGCGAAATCTTCCAACTGAATCATAGCTAAGGTTTATCCAAAAAAGTCGCTAGGTTTGTCAGTATGAATATTCTATGGAAAAAAGCCGCTAAAAGGGTCTGAAAGTTGCTAAATCTAGTGCTAAAGTCGCGCTCGTGTGTGTGAGACGCGGGAGCTGATGGCAGGGGGCGGTGGATATTTGTGGCGGTCAATGTGGATATTGTGGATGAGTTCTTCTGTGTCATCATGTTCTATTAGTTCTACAGCTTCAGTTTCGGAACTTTCAGGCTTAGTAACACATACAGCTGTTCCCTCACCACAGTGCAACAGTGAAAAGGGACCCCTTTCAAACAGTGTCGCGTTCCCAACGTTGTATTGCGGTATTTAAAAAATTCATATCATAACAAAAATAAACACCGGTATTCGGTATGAACCGGTATACCACACAGAACTACGTTTAGCCTTTAGTCTTTACTGGTAAATTACCGGTAAGATACCATTAATAGACCATGTGTGACTCAGGACCTTTTCAAAAATCCCGGTAAATTTGTTCTGGCGATCATATCGTTCTTATGGAGATGACATGATATGATTTGGCTAGTAATGTTAGTTTGGTTGAGAGTGAAAGCTGTGCTCCTCTCATACCATTGGTCGGCGAACTCATGGACTCGAAAGTGATATCAATCAACAAGATTTGTTTTTAAATGTATGACTATTTTTTTTTTCTGCAGCCAAACGCTGCACGCCGGAGAACTTTAAGCCCTGAGTATGATCTTCTTTCAGTTTAGTACTTTTAACAATCAGTTAAACTATCATGCAAGATTCATGTTTCGAATCACCTTTGTTGCTGAAATAATTACAGTAATACAGGCAATAACGGTCATGTCAGAAAAT